AACTATTCAACAGTTTGACTGAATGCACTCTAGAGTAATAAATAATAAGGAATTCTATACTTAAATACACATTTCTGTATTATATAATAAATAACTTGATTTTTGAAGTCTTACATACATATATTTATAGTTATAGTTACAGTGATAAAACATTTGCAAAAAATATTTACTTTGTAATCATTTTGATAAATATGCTGTACAAATCTTGTTATAATGGTTAATGTTTTGTTTTTTTCTCTTAAGTTTCAATGAAATTAAAAAAATAAATCTAAATTTTATATCTTATAAGTGGAATATTCTTAAATTAAGGTTAATAAATGGAAGAGCCTTGGAGGCAGTTACTGTAAATCTATGTGTTTGTTAGACTGAATTGTCACAAGAAAGCCTTTGGTACTTACACTGCTCATGTTGTTAGCATAAATCAACAACCGACCCCCTATCATAACGGAAAATCAGTTAATAAGTTGGAAATTGGTTTATTAAAAATCATACTTTAAAAGTCATTGAACAAAAAATACTGAATTATTTTTTTACGCATATCATGAGGTCTGCACATGCCATAATTATAACCAAAGCATTAAGTCTGCCCCCTCCCAGCCTATCTGAATTAGGGGATATTCTATTACCGATCAAAAACTAAGTGACTGACTGCTGACTGACAGACTGACTACCTTCTCATTTACTATAAAACTGACATCAAATATTTTGTTTTCATGTTTAATACTTACATCATCCTGTTATGTGTGCTAGTCTTTGAAACTCAGGACAACCTTCATACACTTATAATATTTATGAAAACACTGTGCTGCTCAAGTCATGTTGTTTATCAAAACAGATTTGTGCCAAAACATGGCACCATAAGTAAATAATATTCCATAGCAATCGACGTTATACACTTTAAAAGTAATTACAAGGTGTTTTGTTGGAATATGTAGTTCCAGAAATTATCCATACCCCCACAGAGGAATTAAGTATTTCCTCCGAGGGGGAAAGGAAAATTACAGAGTTTGTATGGAAGAATGGAATTAAGGGGTTGGGGGGTCTTTAAAAAATTCCCTCATTGGGGATTGGGGATGGATATTTTCTGGGAGTACACAATACTTCTTATACCCTAGCCCTGTGTTTTATTTTCTTTTGGACAACAAGTTTTTCCCTTGAGTTACACTGGCAACTACCTTCTCTCTGAGAGGATGTAGGCAGAATACACACTGTGATTCAGATGGTTCCTTGTGATATCCACAATAACAGTAATTGGGATCATGCAATGCTCTTTTTGGAATGTAACTCAGATTTCTTGATGAAAGCAAACCACCATTGTATCCCCTTTCGCRAAGCCACAGAAGAGATACATACTCATGTCTAAAGATCTGCTGCCACCGCAAATGATAGATTGTGTTTTTACTGTATCTAGCTATAGATTGATGCTTAGATTCCCTCCCTTCCATGGAATTGAGAGCTAAACCTAAGTCATACCTGTCTTTCATTTCCCTGACATGAACTGGAACAATGTTACCTAGATGCCAGACAGTGGGATGAAAAGTAAAGAAAAGCATGTTAATTCTAAAGAACTCTTTACATTTCTTTTCAAGTTCACTAACCTGTTCTTGTGAAATCTCTAAGCGATTAAACAAAGATACACA